GCTGTAGCTTGTACTCCATGAGTACATGCTACATTTCAGTACCGTAAGCTCCACTCTGTGAGGAAGCGCGCCGTAAGTGCGATTCGTGACCTTGGCCGCTCGCGCCTCCCTCCCACGGCTCCGTGAGGGTCATCACCCGACCTGGCCGGGGGCCTGGGAACATGCCGCAGGACCGCTACTGGAGTGATGTGTGTGTGTTTGGTGCAACGAGTTCCTTTTGTGCACACGGGCCGTGCAGAACGCTCATGATACCGGTCACGAGCGGGGATGACGTCAGTGCTTACTGCGTAGTGTGTAGTGGGTGTTCACTTTCTATCCATGGATGGCTCGGTGAATGTGAGGGGCTGTGACAGAAGACGAGGGGTCTGGGTTGAGGCGATAGGGGCGATTGATACAGTGGGGGAAGACTGCCAGACATTGGTCTAACGATACGTTCATCGATAAACGGAAATTCGCCTGTTTGTGTTGGTCCAAAATAGAAGATTACCATTGTAGGAGCAACACACACATTTATGAAAATCCCCGCCGAGGCAACTCGTGGCATTTTCTCTGATTGCGTGACCAATGACCAAATGCAATCCACTTTGTATCCCTGAATCATCGTGCTGGACTTGTGCATTCAAGCAATGGCACTACTGCTCCGCTTATGGCATCGTACTTTTCTGCTGCCGAACTTTGGAATTCATAGATTCGGCTGCAGTTTTCCGAGGGCGGTCGGACCGGTTTATCAGTCATACCATGCTCCTTTCCTGGGCTGTCCCAGCTTAGCGGACTGGTGGGTGACGCGTCATCACTGGCTAGTCGGCGCTATCCGGCAGTCCAGTTGTTCTCCAGGTTCAGGGAGCCGTGGTGTGCAAACATAGGTGCTCTGGCTGTCCAGCTCCAGTAGTTAGTCGACCAGCTGTTCAGCTTCACAGAGCAGATAAAGCGAGCGCTGGTGTGCCTACTGTCAGATTCAGTTGCTGCACTATCCGTGAGATTCAGCGAGGAGTGTTGTGCCTACGGTGCAGTGATGGCTGATCAAGTGATGTCTTCGGAGCCGGTGTCCCAGCCATGGGAGGAGGAGAAAGAGGAGCCATCTTCGGACGTATGTCGATTTCATAGTACAGTTGACCGCGAGCGTGTATTTTGTGTTTGTGAGGAATCGGATATTCGTCCCAGTTGTTTTGCTCTCCTGCGAATGACAATGGAGTGCCGCACAGTTGGCAAGTTCAGGTTTTCCCAGACTTTACACTGACTAGGTAATGGTGATGTCAGATCGATGCGTGTTTCGATTGGGAGTACCTATGTTCTTTTATGTCCAGGTTTATTGCTAGTTTAAAATTAATGATTTACAATTAACCCGCGCTAGGCAAATGTCTTTGACAGTGAGTCATCAATTCTTCCTGACTGACAGTGCTCTTTCTGTATGCTTATTCCGCCAACCATAAACCGTATGTAATATGTATGCTGTCTCACATATGACTGACCAGTAGGGGTACCCATTTTTGGGTCAATTTTCCAAATTTTAGGTGGGGGTGGATTTTCCCATTATTTGGTCTATTCTGATTCCATCTGTGCCAAAAATAGCGAAATCAAACGATTTCTAGGGGTCGCGAATTCAAAATGAAAATGCCAATTTTAGCGAAAAATTGACCAAAATAATGTTATTTCATTTTGGAACAAGGTTGCCATGCGAACAGGTTGGAGTCAATTTTCCCATTATTTGGTCTATTCTGATTCCATCTGTGCCAAAAATAACGAAACCAAACGATTTCTAGGGGTCACGAATTCAAAATGAAAACGTTAATTTTAACGGAAAATCGACCAAATTAACATCATTTTATGTTGGGACAAGGTTACCATGTCAACAGTTTGGGGTCGATGTTATTATTTTTTGCTCCGTTCTGGATCTAGCAGTGACAGAAATAACGATATCAGACCACTTTTAGTGGTGGCGAGCTTGCATTGGAAGTTTTAAGTTTACTTGGAAAAATCACTTCATTTTAACGACTACAAATATGCAAAGCCAATGTGTTGCAGTGGTATTGATGACTGTTGGACACCGTGCAACACTACTTCAGTTGTATATTTGACGTGCAGCGGTAAAAGAGAGCACCAAATATATCTACCGGGCTTCTCACAAAAGTCGGACGAATTTATAATTAATATATTTTAGGGTGTGTCAGTGTTACAAAAATAAATCAGGTATCATCTGAAAGCCTGGTTAAAAATATTTTGTTTCGGGGGATTTCGACCGTCGGCGATCGCCTTACTGAGCCGCGCCGGACCTGTTCGAGATGACCCCCGTTTCGCTCGACGCACAGTTAAGCCCCGCGCAGCGCGGCCTCTGTTGCAGCACGGCACGCGAAAGGTGGCAGGCTGCGCACCGCCGACCTCATTGCACCCTTCAGGTCTTTGGGACTTCTTGGGTGGTTTCGGTACACCTGGGACTTGAGGTGGTCCTACAGGAAAAAGTCCGGTGGGGTAAAGTCCGGGGAGCCCGCTGGTCACGGATGTGTCTCTAAACCTCGAGATCACACGCTGCCCGGAGCGCTCCTGCAGCCACTCCCGGTTTTATTTAGCGGTATTGGCCGTGGAAGCGTCTAGCTGGAACTATTGGGATTTGAGTGGTTCAGGATCGCTGCCCATTGTGGTCTGCAGGACACTCCAAAAATTTTCAGGGTTATCCGGTATCGCTGACCGTTGACAGCCTGGGTATAGCGCATCTCACACGAGCGACGTTCGCCGGGCTTCTTTGATTAGGCTTGCGGCCGCCGCTATGTTCTTTGAACCCGCAGTTAACATTTCCTCGAGCCAGAAACTTTCAACAACGTGGAAAATAGCATTTCAAGATGGTGCTTACTTTGCACAAAAAAAAAAGATTGCGGAAGTTCCGTTGTGTTGAAACGACCGACTTATTCTGAAAGTAGAATTTCTTTGAGTTTGCTTTTGCGTCTTAAGACCACTGTCTCATTTTTGAAACTCAACAAGTATGGTATCATATAAATCTCCTAAAAATTTGCTTTCTTTTCACGTGCATTTGTTTCGTTTAAATATTGTTTCCAGTCCATTATCCGCAAAAGAAATTGGTCCGACTTTTGTGAGAAGCCCGGGACATAAAAACAGCACTAAGCGACGCCGGTATGCGTGACCTTTTCCAATTCGCTAGACGACCTCCCCGAGTCCCGGAGTTGCAGAGACGGCAGAGGGAGGGGCGCAAGCTTTACACCACCGCGCCTTTGGGTGACCGCTGTGCTGGAGTGTAGCTTTGCCCCTCCCCCACAAACACCCACAACCACACACAGAATGCGATTGTGCATATGGAAAGACAGCTGGCGGAGAACATCACAGGAGGAGAGGAACAATGAACTTCATCCTCACCCCATTATGAAAGCAATATGTTTGCAATCTTGCTGATGACGGACAGCACTGGTCTGGCCGAACGCGTGCACGACTACTCGTGGCTCCAGTTCTGGGCATGTGCCACTACAAGAAGCTGTTGACATGAAACGGGTGCAGATACCATGCCATGGAGCTAGTGCCTGGTGATGGCCGCTGCCAGAAGTATCCTTGCAAGATAAAGTAACGGATCTTACGCTGCACTCACAAGTCACAGGCCCAGTCCAAACCCTCAGATGGTGCTGAACTGAAGTCGAATGGCATTGCCTAAAGCTGAGAATTAGGAAGGTACCAAGTCTAAACGACTCAGCCAACTCCGAGGCAGAACCGTTTACTGACTCTTGGCATTGCCTGGGGGGCCGACCCAGTGGGTGGGCCACGGACCTTTTGGTGGCGGACCTGATTCTCCTCCTCTTCAGCCTTTGCACGCACACTCCTTTATATGATGCGTCCTGGTGCCACCACGGCCCATGCAGGATGAAAATCTTCTGCTACGTTATAGGTTCTTCAGATTCAGACGCTAATTACCTGAGATCACAAGTGATCTGTGCCAGAAGCTGTGAAAGTTCTTCGTCATCTACCTATCAACCGTGCACGTATATCAGCGCATGGCTAGTCCCCCGTGTCGAATAATTAATATGAACTCGTAAATGATCGGAGTGTATCGGAAACTCTTACATGAACGGTGTGTATCTGTCCCCACTGAAGAAATGAAATGGTACATGGTTGGTGGGCATGGATAGAATCGACTCTTTGGAGTTTCTGTTTTTGGATCAGAAGTTGATTTTTTTTTTGTATAGAACACCTATAGGTATTTATCCTACCCTGTCTAAAGGTGTATTACATCGTAGCCGTGAGCGGGACGGCGTTTCTTGTGGAAGTATACGGTCGAAATGGTTTGATCGTTTTTGAATTACATGGTTTGAAATACATTCGGAGCCATGATCTGTCAGATGTATCCTGAGCTAATTTGCACAAACTTGAATTGTATAATGGACACAAAGAGCCTGTCATGAACTGAGATATGGCAACTGAAACTTCACATTTTAGTTTGACCTCAAAGGTCATCAAAGGTCACTAATGCAACACAAAAAGAAAATATCAAAAATGATTGCACGCTGACCAGAATGATACCAGCAACAGGAGCAAACCATCCCGGCGCTTTTCACCAAATGTTACAATATCGACATTGTAATGATCGCTAGTAAAGTATTGAACCGTAACCACGTGATAGAGCACATCGATCTGGATGAAAAGGGAGCGTTCAATGACCCCTCTACCCGACTCTCGAAACAAAAAGTTTGCCTTCGTTGCGATTTACTATCAGCGTAAAATAAGCATATTTCTAGGTAAATACGCAAATTTCAATCTCAATTCGCGACCCCTAAACCACCTTTGATTTCAATATTTTTGGCACCATTGGAATCAGGAGCCGCGAAATAATGGGAAAAACCACCCCCACCCACAAATTTCCAAAATCGGGAAAAATGGGTACCCCTACTGACCAGTGTCTCTATTTGCCCTGTATCTCCAGGCGGAGGGCCGGATGGGCTGCCTGCTGACCGCTGTATCCCCTCCCGCCTGGGACTGACCGGTGTCTCTGTTTCCTCTATCCCCAGGCGGAGGGCCGGATGGGCTGCCTGCTGACCGCTGTGTCCGCGGACGGTGACCCGACGGACCCCGAGCAGCGCTCCGAGCGCTGGAAGGCCGGCCCGCTGGCGCTCAGACGGAAAAAACTACCTCCGGCGGGTCAGCACTCAGGTGAGACGACGAACGGTGGCGGATGGTGACGTGGAAGGGGTGAGATGGTGTCACCATCTCATGGGTGAGATGGTGAGCAGTGGTGGGGATTGGACGTGTCAGCTCGTAGGTGAGACTGGACGATATAGGGAGACGGGGTAGATATAGTGTCCCACAGTAGTCAAAGGGGTGTGAGTGATTGAATTACAGTCAGATATGGCATCCAGTAGCAGAGTCCTGTCCCTTAGATGGGCGAGTGGTTGATGGCATCCCTAGAATATGGGCGTCCGTCTTAAGCCTGTGTCCCCCCCCCCCCCCAGATGGGCGGCTCGCGGCCCCGGCTCTCGGTCAGCCCTCCGGAGCGGCTGTTTGACGCTCTGCTCGTGGTGGCTCTCTCAGCGGACGCCGAGGGTCGACTGGAACCCTGCGTCGTCAGCCGGTACCCGCCCGATGTGAGTTATCCGCCCGAGCTCCGTCGTGCTCAGGCAACTTCGGCAGGGTAGGAAACTCATAAGTCAACTAACAGGCTCTCCAGGGAAAAGGGGCGAGAACAAGTCGCCACACCTGCACAGTCTGATGCGCTGCATTAATAAGTAATCATTGTGAAGTACAGAAATAATTTTCGAGTCACGATAGCATCTAACTTCCTAGGTTCGTTTCCCATGCGTCTCATGTAAGTCATCTTCAAGTTGTCCACGCCTTACCTCGATGCATATTCTCCGCTAACTGCCAGGTGTCGCTGGAAGTTAATGTGGCTCCGTTCTTTCTCCCTTACTCCTCTATCTCCCTCCTTCCCTCCTCTTCCCGCCAGGTGTCGCTAGATGCAGACGTTGTCCTATCCCGTTCTGTATCCCTCACCCCTCTCTCTCTCTCCCTCTCTCCACCAGGTGTCTCTGGAGGCGGACGTGGCTCCGTTCTGTTTCTCTCACCCTTCCCCTCTTCCCCAGGTATCTCTGGAGGCAGACGTGGCGCCGTTCTGTTTCCCGGACGCGGCGCGGTGGCAGCGCGCGCCGGACGTGTGGGGGCGCTCGGCGGCCGACGGTGGCGCCGCCTACACCCTGGTGGTGACAGACCAGCACGGCGGCCGATCGTACGGCTTCTGCCGCCGGCTGACGGCTCATACCGGACAGGAGGACGCCGTCACCCTGCCCATCGCCTACTGTCTGCTGACGCGGCACGACGCGCCCGCCTTCTACTCAAAGGTGAGGGGAGACGGCAGGGTAGTGGAGTGATGGAGGGACGGTATGAAGTCGGGAATGGCTGGGTGCTGTCTGCCGAAAGAAAAGAGTGGTGCGATAAAACTCCTCGCCATTGGCTTTCGGAGGCTCTCTTGACCCTCGTTATGCAAAGCAAATATCTAAGCTATATGTTTCTGAGTTGATGGGGCCACCTTTCCAGAGTTAAGAGCTGTGAGCTGGTACGCTATGCTTTTGTCGTCCGCTGTTGCAGGTGGCCCTCTGCATGATAGTGGCCTCTGGCGGGGTTACTTGCACCAATAGTTCTTGTTCGATGCTTAGCCACTTGCTTCTAATGCTTTTTCTTGTCGCCGGTTTCTCAACTTTTAACTGACGCTAATAAATCAGGGTGCCAGGAGTTGGAATCAATCGAGTGATTTGGACGTCTTCTCTTCTGTCTTCTATCCTCTGTCTTCTGTCGGCCCTTCTGGAACACTGACTGACCGTGTTGTATGTTACAGCTGCTGCTGTCGCGCGTGCGGGAGCTTATAATTGTCTGACCGTCTGACGGTCGTTGTGTTTCTTACAGCTGCTGGCGGCGCTGCTGGAGCACCACGGCACCTCTGAACAGCACCGTCTGACTATCTGCTCTGTGTGTTACAGCTGCTGGCGGCGCTGCTGGAGCACCACGGCACCGCTGAGCAGCACCGTCTGACTATCTGCTCTGTGTGTTACAGCTGCTGGCGGCGCTGCTGGAGCACCACGGCACCGCTGAGCAGCACCGTCTGACTATCTGCTCTGTATGTTGCAGCTGCTGGCGGCGCTGCTGGAGCACCACGGCACCTCTGAGCAGCACCGCCTGTCAGTGCTGGACGAGCTGTACGGACGGCCGTTCCCGCTGCCGGGTGGATCCGTCTCCGTACCGCCCGTACCGGCCACCTGTCCAGGGGACGAGACGGAGACGATCACGAACGGCACGCACACCGAGGTCAAGGTACGGGCAACTACCAACCGCCGGGTTCTCGGTGGTTTCATATATGTTTATTTAAAATGCATGCACATACTCATTTGTCGTTACATGAATACGCTCATGACTTTCGAATTTCCGTGACGCATAGCTGCATTCATGTTTGTCGGTTGCAGCCTTTCTTTGCCTACGCCAACCATGTTGAGGGGCATCGCCGATTAATTGCGGCTCATGTGTCATAAGAGAAATTTTGCTCTCCCTAGTGCCCCTCCAAACACACCCAACAGCGCCACCTGCCTGTGTCAAATGGACTGCAGTTTGGCGTCACCTGTGCTCGATCTGACGAGGAGCCATTATAGTTAGTTGTGCATGGCGTCTGGTCTAGCTTGTTGCATTTTATGTTCTGATGTGAAGAACCCTTTTGCTGCAGAATGATGGAGTTGCCGTGATTGTTTCTGTGATGGTTAGTACCTTTCGATGAAAGTGAACTTATATATTTGTCTCTGCTGAACCTGTTGCTCTATGCATTTTTGTGCAGATGTTCTAAGTGGCCCTTGTCCGTCCCCTGTCGGCAGCCGAAGCAGGTGCGTCGTCCGCTCGACCCGCGTCTGGAGGAGGACGGTCTGTTCCTTCTGGTGCGGCGGCTCGGTGTCGACCTCTTCATCAAACTGTTCGGCTCAGCGCTACTCGAGCGGAAGATCGTCCTCTACAGCGCCCACCTCGGGTAGGTGGGAGAGGGAGTGAGGGGAGAGGGAGAGAGAGAGAGAGAGAGAGAGAGAGAGAGAGAGAGAGAGAGGCGAGACGAGACGAGACGAAACGAGACGAGATGAGACGATGAGGAAGAGGTGAGGGAGAAAAAGAAGGAAAGATGGACGAGGGGAGAGAGGGTAGAAGAGAAGAAAAACAGACGAGCAATGCGAGAGTTACAGCTGGAGAGTCGAACGTGAGAGGACGGCCCCAGTAACTCGAATTCACTGCAGGGGAGTCCAGCCTACCCGACTGACCAATCTTATAGCGTAAGTGAAATCCAATACGCCAGCGGCGCCCTAGCATATTGCACCAGCGTGAAACGCTCCACTTGTAATACCCTAAGAATAAGATTGGTGATCAAATGATGCTATTACTGAATTATTGTCTGCACTATATAGACATGCCGCGTTCGTTAGGTTGGCCGCATCGTTACGGGGGATCTTGGACGTATTGATGTCGTCTCGGCCGCGTATGCTCCGACTCCGACTCTCACTCTGACTCTGATTCTAAATATCTGACTCTGTATAGTGGCGGGAATGGGTTGAGTCACTACCATTAGTGCAGCTGCTTTATCGCATTCTGGGAAGGGTTAACAAGTGATTCGATCCAAATTCAGCGGCTTCTAGCACTGACAGGAACCGGCAGTTTTGTTATGCTCTTGTCTGAGCCAAACACAACTGGGATGGGAGGAAAACATGTGTTCAATAGTCTGGCTTACAAAGAAGGGGAAGTACAGGGTGTCCCGAAATTGATGCGCGGTTGGTGCCGCATGTTATGTTGTCCCTCCCGAGTGCTGAACAACTGCAATTTTACCGGCACTGGCACCACTGACATCTTGCTGGTCACACGATCACGTGAACCAAGCGACTAACCCGACCGCGGCCGGTAGTGGGCGCGGGAGGCCACTCTTGTCCAGACAGGCAACGTGGAGAAACTGCATATCACCAAAAGTGAAAAGGCACAAACTGCCGATCCGCTACCGCGCGGTGGGGATGATCAAGGACGGTGTGACCCAGGTTCTGGATGCCAGAGAATTGGGCGTCAACTCTGCGACAATTAAACTTTGGATGGACCGCAAACGATCAGGAGAGACACTCAAGAACAGCACAGTTCGAGGGCGGAAGACTGCCTTCAGCCGAGTGGCGAAAATCGTGATTGCAAAGTCGACCTTTAAAAAGCACCATTCAACATAGCTGACAAGAAAACTGAATGAGATGTATGTCCCAGCATCCAAATCGACCCTCCACCAGTATTTGAAGACTATCTTGAAGCTGAAGCTGCTCAGCTTCAGGATGCAGACTTGGCCTACCGTGGTCCAGAAGTCCAGGCAGCTGGATTTCGCCAAAACCCACAAAAACTAGACCATTCAGGACTGGAGATGCGTCCTTTTCAGTGACAAGGTGCCCTTTGTGGTCTCTAAGCCCCTAACTGCCAGAACGATCGAAATGTGGGCCAACGGCAGCTCTGAGGAGTCCGCTGTCGAGACGGTGAAACGTCTGCTGAAGAATCTCATTTGGAGCATGGTGAGTTACAGAGGCGCTCTGAGCTTCACGAGGTGCCTCGGGAACAGACCGTGACTGCTTATTACTATGTCAACGAGGTGTTGAAGAAGACTGATGCCACAAAGATGCTGAGGGAAAGGGTAAATGGTTCAAAAACCGGAGCCAAACTTTTGTCGGACATGTCCAGGGCCATTTTCCAGCAAGAAAGGGCTCCAGCTTATCACGCCAGGAATACCCAGGACTGGTGCCGAGCGAGGCTCCCAGGCCTCTGGGAGAAGGGGACATGGTCTGCCAACAGTCTGGACCTGTCCCCGATTCAAATTATCTGGACAATCGTCAGAAAAGAGCTCAGCAAGCTTCCAGGGCTAGCTCAGAGAAGAGGCTGTTTCAGAAGATATAAACGGCATGGCGTTGTTTCAAAGGAGAGACTCTTGACAACCTGAAACGTGACACGCTAGAGTACAATAGGCCGTGTATGCAACTGAATGGGGATTATGATAACATATAAGCCGTGAAATAAATTCGAGCACTTGATAAGTTATTGAGGATAAAACAACCGCGCATCAATTTCGGGACACCCTGTAAACTAAAGTTAACTAGATAGTCACTGACTGGAAAATTACTTGTTCATTTGCTTTGTGAACAAATGTTCAGAAATCCGTCAGAAGCTCCCTCAAAGAATGTGAATATTCCTGGGCTGTAAGCGCATTTGTTCGCCGTTTTGCCCGCGGCGAATTACACGGGTGAAAAGTTACAGAGGTAGTCCAGGATCCGCAGTGTATCGGTGCCGCCGCTGGCTGCTGCCAAGGCCAGGGTATGTTTTCTCCCCGACTGCCAGGCCGTGTATGTATTCGGTGCCCGCCCGGAACACTGGCTGACTATGAGGTTATGTAACATGATGGAATTATTCAGGTTTATTGTAGACTTCAGAGAACATGGCTCACATTGAAAAATTAGTCTGGGCGGGTGAGTCGGACTTGACATATTGTTTAATTTTTCTGAGTGGGTTTGAAAAGCAACGCCTTCGGTTACTTCAGTAGGCTGCATGCATAGAAACTAGAAATCAAACCATTGCTGGGTGTTTCGCTTCATATATGTTTTCCTGAGCTTTAGAGCGTTGCAGCATCGTGATGGGCAGCACGCCCGTTTGTACCCCTTTATTCCGACTTCTCCAGCGGTAAATAATCGCTCTCACATGGAGTGTACCGTCTGTTCCCTTCCCTCAGCAATCCACAGAGCAGAAAGCAGGATATTTGTATCTGGAATACTTGGCGCCTGTCTGGTGGCATGTGAGGTGCGGCTTATCGCGATCATGGTACTAGAGTTAGCAGCATCTGCTAGTGTCAGTTATGTAGTATTGTAGTATACAATAACATAGTTTGCGAGCCAAACGATATGCTTGAGGCAGAAATGGTGTGCAGATCAGGCAGCGCTGACTGCATTCATTCTGGGTCTCTGATTTCAATGGTAAAACGAGTATCACAGCATCATAACACATTTTGCTGAGCCGCTCAGCCTTGACCGGCCGCCTGGCGCTGTTAGTTTTAAAGTTTTAAAATAAACATTGCCCGTGAGCTGTACGACGCCCAGGCATGGTACCCATCGCACCAGCGTAATGGCCCGTCTAGGACCCGTGCAACACTCTGGTGTGCAACACTCTGGTTGGCTCGTCCGTCATACAGAGGTGATCCGTCTGTCCGTCTGTACGGAGATGATCGATTCGTATGTACGGAGATAATAATCGCTCCCCAAAGCTCGGTTCGGTTCGCCAGAGGTGTGCGATCCATCTGTAAAGCTCTGACGATCCGTCCATGCGGCTGTGGTCGGTTCGCAATCCCCCCCCCCCTCCTCCCTACAAACTGCACTTGGGTTATTCACTATACAATAAATCACTCACCTGACATCGCCACTACCACTCATTGCCTATCAACACCAAATCTCCTCTGCCGTCGGACGCAGAAGTCAATCAGTCTCTGTCTCTGAGAGGTGGGCGTTAGTCAGGGGATTTCGGAAACGGTGCCCCTGGCGACACACTCTCCCTGGAATGTGTACATTGGCGAGCGGCCGGCGTCCAGGCGCGTGTTTCCGCCGAGTTGCAACACTGTCTGAGACGCTGCGCGGAGCTTCGCCTGAATTAAATCGGAAAACGCCTCCGACGTTTGTTCGGTCACATGGCTCGACCCGTGCACGGAATATATGATTATTCATTGTTCAGTTTTGCGATGTCGAAATGAATTTCATTTTGCTTCATTATTTATTTCAGCTACGTCAAACTGAACTTTCTGCTGTATACTGTTTTCTGGCTGGCTGAACCGAGTCATGGATCTTTGTGTCTGACACCCGCTATTTTCTGTGTGATGACGACCTGTCTCTGATGACTATGCCCAATACTCATGCCTCTATCTGATACTGCCCTGTCTCTGTCCCCATCCAATGTCCTGTCCGCGGTAGTGCCTGCGATGCAGTCGACTCTGTCGGTTCGTCGGACACCATTGGCTGACGCTGGTTCATCTGTCCCCTGTAGGGTGCTGTCCGCTGCAGTGTCCGCGCTGCAGTCGGCTCTCTGTCCGTTCGTGTGGCAGCACTGTCTGACACTGTCTCATGTGTCTCCACAGGGTATTGTCCGCGGCGGTGTCTGCGCTGCAGTCGGCTCTATGTCCGTTCGTGTGGCAGCACTGTCTGATACTGTCTCATGTGTCTCCACAGGGTATTGTCCGCGGCGGTGTCTGCGCTGCAGTCGGCTCTCTGTCCGTTCGTGTGGCAGCACTGTCTGACACTGTCTCATGTGTCTCCACAGTGTGCTGTCCGCGGCGGTGTCTGCGCTGCAGTCGGCTCTCTGTCCGTTCGTGTGGCAGCACTGTCTGACACTGTCTCATGTGTCTCCACAGTGTGCTGTCCGCGGCGGTGTCTGCGCTGCAGTCGGCTCTCTGTCCGTTCGTGTGGCAGCACTGTCTGACACTGTCTCATGTGTCTCCACAGTGTGCTGTCCGCGGCGGTGTCTGCGCTGCAGTCGGCTCTCTGTCCGTTCGTGTGGCAGCACTGTCTGACACTGTCTCATGTGTCTCCACAGTGTGCTGTCCGCGGCGGTGTCTGCGCTGCAGTCGGCTCTCTGTCCGTTCGTGTGGCAGCACTGTCTGACACTGTCTCATGTGTCTCCACAGGGTATTGTCCGCGGCGGTGTCTGCGCTGCAGTCGGCTCTCTGTCCGTTCGTGTGGCAGCACTGTCTGACACTGTCTCATGTGTCTCCACAGTGTGCTGTCCGCGGCGGTGTCTGCGCTGCAGTCGGCTCTCTGTCCGTTCGTGTGGCAGCACTGTCTGATACCGGTGGTACCGTGTGGACTGGCAGAGCTGCTGGCCGTGCCCAGTCCGTTTATCATGGGGGCGCTGCCCGAGACGCGGCCTCTGGACCATCTCAACGATCAGGAGGACGTGAGTGCACCGGCTATTGTGAAACTGAGCCGGTGGGGATAGTGTGCTAGACAACCTGTCTGTCCTGTGGATTGTGCAGGCTTGTAATATAGAAGAGGGAGGGTTCCATTGCGTTAAGACGCACCTGTGCGACGCTCCTTTCGCATTAAATGCCAGCTAGTGGCGCTACACGAGTGATCAAGTGCGGTTGAGCTGTGTCAAAGTTGCGCATCTGTATTCAATGCACTGTCTACGGCCTGCCGCTCATAAATTTGAGAATTTATCATCGCCACAGGAAGCGTCGTTGTTATGCTGTTATTATTTATTATTCATCCATGAATGAATCCATGAATTACCAGAGGTTGCCATCCTTCCCAGAAGTTGCCATCCTTTTCAGAAGTAATGCCTGCCATCCAGTCTGTCTTAACCCGGCAGGCGGTGGGCCTACCAGCCACCTTCCGCGCGGTGGGGGGGGGGGCACTTTTTTGCCCCCCCCCCCCGTATCTCCGAAACTACTGGACGGATCCGGAAAATTCAAACGGCGTTCGATAGCCCTGTCAAATTTGTCGAGGGAAACCAAATTTCATTGACCTCGGGGTCACCGATGACGTCACAGGTCAGGTCAAAGATAAAATGTTTCACCGTTCACGGGGCTTCTAGGGAAAGCGCTATAACACCGAGTAAAACGCATTTTGTCGAAAATCAGCGATAAGGCGTCAGTTGTCTAGTACATATGTTGCTATTAGAGGTCACTGGTCATACCAGGTCAGGTCACAGGTCAGGTCACCAAAGGTCACCAAGGGTCACCACATGAGCCCAACTTTACTAAGGTTATGCGATGCATGTTTTATGGCCAGTTTTTCATTTCCAACTCAATGGTGTTGGTTATAAGACCATCAGGTACGGTTTAGGTCACTTTCTGGTGGAGGTCAGGTCAAGGTCAGGTCAAAAAAGGTCAAATTTTAAAGTTGATATTTTTGCATAAAATGGGTATCGCTTCGATGCAGCTCGTCACGGGGAGTCTAATGGTGGTCTTAGTTTTGCGCTACAAGGTCTAGAATTGCTAAAAATTGAGTTTGAAAATTTGACGTCATCAATTTTGAACAGTTTTTTTCGCTATAACTTGGCCAAAAAAAGAGGTATCGATCTCAAATTTGGTATGTAGGTAGAAGGCGGTAGGGGCTATCACATATATTCCGTTTTTTTCGAAATTCAAAAAACTTTTTGGATTTTTTGGCTATTATATTCAAAAAATCTATTTTTTATTTTTGGGGGTCAAAATCCATAAAATTCGAAAAACCGATATAGCAGTTTTGTAGCCCTTTTAATTCCACACCTTTTATGTATGAAACATTTTTCTGTATCTCTAAAGCTGTAGGCCTGACAGCATCTTCCCGCGAAACCTTTTTTTGGGTCGAAAATGGCAAAAATGACGTCACTCTGACGTCATTAGCGGCCAACCTATCATAGCCTTTGGAAAAATTTTTGGTCACCATGTGCGCTAGCTGCTCCCGGGAGGGTACTGAAAGTTTGGTGACGATCGGCGCAGCGGTTCTCGAGATATATCGAAAAAACTAAAGGGGGGGGCAAAAAAATGCCCCCCCCCCCCACCGCCTGGAAGGTTAAGGTACCGGCTCGCCTCCCCTATCCACTCTAACCCCACCCTTCTCTCCCCAGGTGATCTGCGTGGACCTGGACGAACCGTCGCTGGTCCAGTCGGTGGGAGACGAGGCCACCATCCTGCCCCGTCGGCTCAGTCGCACGCTGGCCGAGGCCCTCAAACTGGCCGCCTGCCTGCCGGGCGGTGACCCGGCGCCCGGCGTGGCCTCAGTGATGCTGGCCGAGACCCTGCTGAGGCTGTTTGTGGAAGTCTGCGGCCACTACCGCGGTCACCTGACCACACAGCAGGACGGACGGCCGGTCCTTCAGGTAAGAACACTACCGCGGTCACCTGACCACACAGCAGGACTGACGGCGCTTGCTGCAGGTGAGGATACTACCACCTGATGACCCAGCAGGACGGATGACCTGTGCTGCAGGTAAGGACACTAATTATACCGCGGTCAGCTGACGATCCAGCAGGACGGTAGGCCCGTTTTACAGGTAAGGATTAGGCGCTCATTATACAGTAAACTTTATCAATCGGAACACTAGCCCATTTCAGGCACCGTCCGCCATACTCCGTTATTGTCTATAGCTGCCGTATGTCAACTTAGAAGGAGACAGAAACGAGCTGCCGCGGAGCTACCGCTGATCGTACAATGGTGATGAAACCGGGCTGAGCAGAGCTCGGCTCGATATAGTTAGCGTCCGGCGTGGTCGGTGGTGACAGCCCCATCAGCGGGATCTGAGACTGGGGTCTGGTGGGGTATGGTAATCGGTAATGGGGTGATGGCGTGGGCCGGATATCGGCCCGACTCCCGGTCAGGCGACTAGTGTGGGTGAGGGGGAGGAACGATAGGGGCTGGGGCGGAGCAGAGTCGACTCGTTCGGGACCTGGGGAGGGGAGACGAAAAATGACGACAGTAGTCTGTTTGAGGAAGGATGGGGTGGCTGCATGCTATAAACTATTAAACAATACTGAAGGATGTTTGACTGGCTTAGGAGGAGTGACTATAACTAGCCTATGATATGAATATTTAACTTGAATATTTTCTTATAAAGCGATTAACCCGCGCCCCAGTGACGGTCTCAGCCAACTTCGCCCTAGTTGGGGGGGGGGGGGGCATATGTTACCACCCACCTCTAACTCAAAAACTAAGAGGGCTAGAAAGACGCGGTAAAAAGCAGTCGATAGCTCTCAATGCGTACGTTTGAAAGTATTTCAGTCATTTTTCATGTCAGAGCAATATTGGGGTCACCAGAGGTCATCAAAGGTCAAAAATTGCCAATTGTCATATTTTTTCAGAAAACATGCCGTTATCTCAGGAACTATGGTAGCTAGAAAAACGCATGGAACAGCAATCGACAGTTTTTGAACTCTTCTTTCGATAAGGTCATTATCAAAATTGACCTCAGGTCAACGGTTTAGCCTCCAGAGGGCAAAAACTCCAAAAAATAGCTGTTTTTACGAAAAGTGTTTTTCGACAATAACTTTCGACTACAAAAAGCCACGACATTTCTATTGCCAAAATCGTGTTCCTCTCGCCAAGACGCGTCGAACGAACTATAATTTGACCTTGAAAGGTCAACTTGAAAATTTGACCTTAGGTCAAGGTCATGACCTGACCGGAAAAGGTCATGTTGCATATCAGTCGATGCGTCTCAACAAGACAAACACAATGAGACCATCCCCAGCGTTCTATCTTTTTCCAATCGCGAGTTATTGGCAAAAATCTGTTTGTAGCCTTAAATGACCTCGGATGACCTTTCTAGAGGCTATCAGCAAAAATGACACCTAGGTCATCACGGGTGGTCCAAATCACTGTGATTCTGAAATATTTGGACTGTTCCTATGCGTACACACGGATCTAGAGGCATTTTCATTTTTCTCCATTGACTTGTAATGGAAAGGTCACGCCACTGACCTGACCTTAGGTCACGGATATGAAAAATCCTAGATATACAAATTGTAGACGCCCACAACAGCATGCAATCCACCAAGTTTAAAAGCTTTCTGACAAACACTGCAGGCTGGACATGATTGCAAACTTTTTTTTAGGCTTGGTGAGTTAACGACCTGGTGACCTGACCTGATATGACCTGGGGTCAAAAATTTCACACATTGTCCAAAATTGATGTAGGTACCAAAAGCTACCCCAAGCGGCGCGGCGACGCGCCGCGGTTTTTTATTCACACGCAAAAAAAAAAAAAAAAACGCTACAGGGTGGTACAAAACGCTACATTGCCCCCCCCCCCCCACCCCACTGGGGCGAAGTTTAAATGTAGGATGAGTCTGCTTCATGAATCATGAAGAAAATATCCGACCAGTGTGCTTTCAGTCGGTGTTGGACGTTAGCCCATTTTACTAACTAGCTTTTGCTTCCAGCCCGCTGTTCACTTGCGTTAGTGGTTTATGGGTCATGCGCGTCGGTGCTCAGCCCGGGCCGCGGGCCATTTGGTTTGGCCGCGGGCCATTCCACCCGTACGGTCGTTAAAACACGCAGTGTATTACAGTCTACCCACGGGGTGTCAGTGCATCATATTCTACCCACGGGCTGGCAGTGTGTTACACTCTACCCACGGGCTGACATTTCATACCCTACACCAGTGCGGTACAGCGGCGGCGGCGGCATCGATTTATAATGCAGTTTCAACAGAAGGCATATAGCTATCTCCGGGCGGCCCACTGCCGAGTCCCCCCCCCCTAGCCCATCTCCGGGCCCGCCCACTTCGGCTGCCTCCCCCCCCCCCCCCCCCTCCTCTTCTGCTGCGCCGGCGTCAGACTCGTTATCGCGCCCGCCCGTGGCTGTCATGCTTCTCGCCTCGCTCCGGTCAGTGCAGCGGCCAGCGGACCACTCCGGTCTGACCTTGCCGGGACCCGTCTACCATGTGCCGGCGCTGCCGCCGCCACTGACCGGCTGTGACGCAACCCTGCACCCTGCCGGCGGGGACGGGGGGAGGGGGGAGTTGCAGACTGCCGCCGGTCGATGGCTCAGCTGAGCGCTCAGCGGCTCCGGCCGCTGCCACGGACCGACCGCGTGCAGCCCCGCCCCCGCCCCCGCCGGGACTGGGGGGAGGGGGGACGTGACGATACAGGCGGCTCATGACGATCGGCAGTTGGCAACGTGGCTGCGGTGACCGCGATGATTTTGAGCAGCTGTTGATGGGGACGGGGCGGCGGGGTGCAAATTGGGCAGATGGTTACAGGAGTGTATAGTGGTGCGTTTGGTGACCGATGTGCAGTTGGTGGCACTTCGTTCATCAGATGCTCGCTCATGGATGCAATCCCAGCAAATAAAGTTGCAAAAGCGCGAGGATGTTACGATATGTATGATACAATACTTTGGATACAGACAGCCAGTCTGAACTCGCCAAATGTGGGTCAATACTGGGCCCGTATGGCTTCCTCCGGCTCCCTTTCCTCAGCTGTGTTAGCTTCCAAGTCCGATTCTGACACTGATTCTCTACCCCTTTCCACCCTCTGCTTTCTCTCTTGGGTGTTAAGCCGAACTGATGCAACGCTCTCCGACAATCATGACTCGCCTGGTTATTCTGAAGTTGAGCTCGTTTGTCATGCCCCCGGGTCTGGGACTGTGCAGCAGGTTTAGTCAGTGCTCCGTAGTCAGTGCTCCGTAGTCAGTATATGTAGTAAGTGCTCCGGTCCACGATAACGGGCCAGGCCGTGACGCAGTTGTCCGGTGTTGTCCGGTTCAGACTGGGTATGTCTGGACGGTACGGTTCTATTCCTGACCGGTATAGATGGGTGGTTCTCATGCTTTATCGGTGCTTTGAGCTGTTTATCGAGCGTTTGAGAATGGTTGGCAGGTCGTAGCACTCGGAAACACGACTTACAATACCGCTGTAATCCAACTTTGTCTGCCGTGAAGTCCTTCAAGTCATACTGGTCGCCAGCCGTATCTTCTACCGTACTCTGATCGGTATCGTCTCTCACATGTAACCCGTCGTTGCGTCTATTATTGCATATATTGTGGCCATGACTCGCCTGTGACCCACCCTGTCCCTCTGAACGTACCTCTGGCCCTCCTGTGTCTTTTGTCCCTCTCGCCCCAACCTCTAACCCGCCTGTGCACTCCGACCCCACCTCTGACCTTCCTGTGCCCTGTGGTCCTACCTGCGACCCCTCATGTGCCCTCTGACCCGACATCTAATTTGCTTGTTTTGTTTTGTTGTTTTGTTGGGTTAGGCCCTTTCGGTCCAATTAGACCATTTCAGAGCCGGAAGGATGTTAGGAATTAGGGGGTGACATTGGTCTGGGCAGGCACCCTAGTGAGTCGCCGGGGCTGAGCCCGTCCAGAGGACAGGCCACCCAGCCCCAAGGCACTCACTGCACCCGGCTACGGGATGCGCTCCCTCGGGAGCAGCGGTGCCGCTCCAAGAGAGCAGCCTGCATGAGATAAAGTTGCCTGTCCAGCCCGGAAGGGGGTTGCGGCGTGGAGAAGGACTTCTGTATCCTGAGGATAGAAGCACGGAACGTGCCCGACATCTAACCCTCCTGTGCCTTGCCTCCCCAGCGTGAGTCGTTCGTGGAGGCGGCGCCGTCTGACGACGTGCGTGAATTCCTCGAGTGGTTCACCGAGACGGCCATGTTTGCCGCCTTCATCGAGTCGTGCGAGCAGCAGCCCGAGTCGCCCGCAGGTGAGAGTCGAGACTCCCTCTCCCCACACTTCTCAGGAGTCTGTCTGTGGTGATTGGAGTTAGTCTAGCTGAGACAGGCTCTCCTAACGGCGAGTGAAGTCGATAGGAGTGGGCGTCGTCCCTACTGAGGACTGTGCCGACTGACGACTTGGTAGCGGGCCGTCCAACGGGTTCCGCCTCCCCGCGGTGGACGGCGGGGGTCCGACGACTGCTGCTACGGTGGCGATCCGAGGGCCCAGGCGCGCGCGGTGCGAAGACCACGCGCGCTGCACCAAATGGAACCCAGATGCTCCCGACAGTGCGGACGCCGTGGGGTCGACGCCCTGCGGCCCCGCCGCCCCGAGGCTGCATACCGACACTTCTCACCATCTCCGCCGGAGCTCCGCGGGCCTGGGCGCCGTACGACGGCAGCCCGGGCCCGCGTAGCTAAGTGAGCGACGCGCCCCCCGCCGTGAGGCCCGACGGCGGGGGCAGGAGGGACTGCGGCCCATGGGTGCCCAGGGGAGGCCACAGCCGGAGAGCCAAGAATCGGAGGTACCGTCACAACTGCCAAGTTCGAAGCCGACTGCTGGTGATCAGCTGGAACGCGGAGGGGGTCCTCGGGAAGATCGGGGAGCTCAGCCGTTGGCTGTCGGACACGAAGGTGGACGTGGCGGCGATCCAGGAGGCTCAGTTGGCTGGCAAGGCCCTCACGGTCCCGGGGTATCAGACGGCTGCAGTCTCAAGAAGGGCCCGAGGCAGGAGGGACGGTGGACCGGTCCGCGGCGGGGACGTTGCAATCCTGGTCAGGAACGGTCTGAACTTCACCACCATCAGGAGCTCCCCCCTTCAGCCTCAAGACGACACCACCGAGTGCTGTGCCATCCGTGTCATCTTGAGCACAGCAAGACAACACTCCAGACACCTCGACATCTACAATGTGTACCGCCCGCCCATCCGAACATCCGCCCAGGACGAGCGGGTCGACTTCTTCAGCCTGGATGCATTCCCGAGCAATGATGCCACTATCATCACGGGAGATCTCAACAGCCACCACCCTGTCTGGGATGTTTCTTGTTCAAACCCGGACAGGGTCGGTGACTCCATCTACGAGTGGACGGCCCGCCACGACTGGCAGGTGCTCAATTCCGGGACCCCCACACGGGCCGGCTACGGGGAGGACGCCCGCCTCTCAGCTCCTGACGTCACTCTGGCGCACAGTGACCTGGCCCGGCGCTGCACGTGGGAGGTCGGCACCGATCTGGGGAGCGACCACCTCCCGCAGCTGGTCGCGGTCACCACCTCGGGACACCGGCCTCGTCGCATCAGGAAGACGCGCTGGGCCTTCCATAAAGCCGATTGGACGGCTTTCACGGCCCGCTGCGAGGAGACGATGGCTGACCTGACGCTGGGAGAGACCTCGGTGGAGAGACTCGCCGCGCGTTTCAACGATGCTATCATCGAGGCGAGCGTGCGGTGCGTTCCCCGGGGCGCCCGTGCGGACCCCAAGCCGTGGGCGCTCGACCCGGAGCTGGTGCGTGCGGTGGAGGAACGGAAAGCGGCAAGAGCAGCCGTCCAAGAGGACCCGTCCCCGGAAAACCAGACGCGCTGGAAAGAGAAGAAGAGGCACGCTGCAGATGTCGAGGCTGACGCCAGGCGCCGCGCGTTCCAGGACTTCGCGTCTACCGAATTGAACCGCCGCGCGGCCTTGGGCCGCGTCACAAAGATCCTGCGCAAGATGGAGGGTGCGGTGACGGACACCTGCCCCGGCCAGGCCATCAACGGGGACCGCGGCCAACTCGTCGCGGAGGACCGGGCCAAGGCCGAGGCGTTTGTCCGCACCTACGCAAACGTCAGCAGCCACACCCGTCACAGGAGGCGTGATCGATCAGTGAAGGCTGATCTGAGGGTGGTGAAGACGCGCCCCTGCTCATGTGCTGGACAGCGCGATGGTGCCTGCCAGCCCTTCTCCAGACAAGAGATGAGGACCCAGCTGAGCAAGCTGAAAATGAAGAAGGCTCCCGGCGCTGACGATGTATGTGCGGAACACCTCAAGCACCTCGGGCCGGTGGCCCAGGCCGCGCTACTGCACGTCATCAACAAGTCGTGGAGCTCCGCTGAAGTCCCCTCGGTATGGAGGAGAGCAATCATCATACCGATCCCTAAGGCCGGGAAGGACCCTCAAGAGGTCACTAGCTACCGTCCGATATCGCTCACCAGCCACGTCGCCAAGCTGATGGAGCGGATGGTGGCAGCTAGGCTCACGCACCTACTGGAGCGAGACAACATTATCCCCGCAGAGCAGGTCGGTTTTCGCCGCGGCCGCTCTGCAGAGGAGAACCTGGGACGGCTCATACAAGAAGTCCAGGACGGGTGGAACCGGCCGCCACCGAAGGGACGCCCGTCTGACGGCAAGACCGCCGCCAGGTTCGTGTTGACGGCCTATGACTTCTCCCGCGCCTACGATGTAATCGACCATCAAATGCTGCGACTGAAGATGTCCCATCACCTTCCACGGTGCCTTGTCACGTGGATTCACCACTTCCTCCGAGACCGACGCGCCTGCGCGGAGGTCAATGGGTCACGGAGCCGGAACCGCCCATTCCGAGCTGGCCTGCCGCAGGGGTCCGTCCTCGCACCGACCCTGTTCACGCTGTGGTCGGCGGACCTCGTGGCGGCGCTGAAGCGGATCCCGGGCACCTCTGTCTTCCTGTACGCCGATGACACCGCAACACTGTGTTCCGGCGGTACGATAGCGGAAGCCAGGGACCGGGCTCAACAAGCGGCGGATGCCATAGCGAAATGGGCCCGCGACTGGAAGATGCGGCTGGCAGGAAGCAAGACGCAAGTTTTAGCCCTGTCGCAGCACTACGTCGACGCCCGGGACCTGTACATCCACGTAGACGGGGCACGAGTGGACGCTGGGAGACACCTTCACCTTCTCGGTGTAACCCTGGACCGGCAACTTCACATGGGCGAGCACTGCGCGCGCGTCCGGAAGAAGACCAAGCGGAGGATCGCACAGCTCCGTAAGATGACCGGGCGTTCCTGGGGTCTGCGGGAGCCACAGCTGCGAGTAGTAGCCAACGGCTACATCCGCGGTGCCCTGGAATACGCGGCGGCTGCATGGCTCCCTGCAGCGTCCGAGTCCCACGTAGAGCTACTGGAGATTGAGATGCGCGCCGCAGCCCGCGTTATCACCGGGTGCCCCGTGAGCACGCCGAGGGACCCGCTCCTCGCGGAAGCCGGTCTGGTTCCCGTGAGAGCACGCCGGGACCTGCTCGCTGCCAGACTGAGCTGTCTGGCAGCCTCACAAAGAAGCGGCGACCCACTGCGCGCGGTGGCCGAAGCAACGGCCCCACGGCGGCTCCGCACCACCACTGGCTGGCGCGACACGGGAGCGCGCGCCCTGGTGAGCGCGGGCGTGCGAGATGTACCTGTGGAGGAGCGCCTGCACGTCACCATCCCGCCGTGGATCGATGACACCAGGGTCCAGTTCAGACTTGACATCGGCAACCACATCAGCCGCACAGCACCACCCGACGTCCGGCGGGAGAGAGCGGAGGAGCATCTGGCCACCCTCCCAGACGACGCCGTATGGGTGTGGAGCGACGGCTCGGCGGAGGGAGGTGTCTCAGCCGGAGGGAGTGGAGCGCTGATAATCCTCCCCTCAGGCGAGGAACACGAGCTCCGAGCCCCTGCGGGCAGGATATGCAGCAGCACCCGCGCCGAATTGGTGGCGATCCGCGGGGCACTGGAGATGCTGCTGCGGCTGGAGGGCGGCCTGGCGGAGACCCCGGTCATCGTCTGCGCCGACTCGCAGGCGGCGCTCGCTACACTGGCGAGTGGGGCTGGGAGCCAGGCGACAGCACTCGGCGCCGCCGTATGGCGACTGCTCCTGGCGCTCACGGATGGAGGACGCCGAGTCTTCATGCAGTGGATCCCAGCGCACTGCGGAATACCCGGCAACGAGAGAGCGGACGTGCTGGCTAAAGAGGCATCCAGCCTGTCGCAAGACGCCGTCCCAACGGACGTCCGCTCGATGGTGAAGGCAGTCGGCCGCTCCGCCACCAAGGCATGGCGTCGCAGCTGGCCAGACAGCTTCTTCAAAACCATCATGGGAGACCGGATGCCGATGCCGGTGCTCCTGGAGTCTCGCGACGAGGCGGTCAACGTCCACCAGCTGCGGGCGGGACACTGGAGCCGCTCGCAGAGCTACCTTCACAGAATCGGACGCCGCCCCGAGCGCGACTGCCCACAGTGCAGTGATCTGGCCTGCCCGGCGGCGCGCTGCCTGGTGTGTCGCGAGGGCCCAGACACGCCGGAGCACGTGCTGCTGAGGTGCCCGTGCTTGGCTGGCGCGAGGCTCCGCCTACTCGGCAATATCAGACCGGACCCTACGCAGCTTCGGGACGGCGGGGCTGTGGCGGCCTTGAGCCGCGGCTACCTCAGTCACCAAGAGCCGTTGGGCTACGGTCGGCCGTGAGCCGACCCGGGGAGACCAACAACAACAACAACAACTTGGTAGCGGTATCTGGCTCTGAGACTGTAACAGGGACTGAGTCGGTTGGCAGTCGAGTCGATCGTCCTGTTAGGCTGTGGTGGACTCAGAGACTCCGGTTCTGGAAGGGGGACTGGGTCGATCTGAGGTGTCCGGGTCCCGGAGTTTATTTTTGTCCCGCCGCCCCGCCGTTAGAATTGGCACGCCATTGCTGGCTGTCGCTGTTCTCTGCAGTGCTGATCCCCAGGCCCAGAGTTGATGTGTCGTATTTTCGTCAAACGGTGTTTTCGTATACTGCATCTGTGCTGTCTGCGTCTGGTGACTTTGCGCGGCGTGTGATACTCCCGACCGCCGAATTCGGGTGTAAGACTCAGTGTGAGGCTCCCTTTTCCCTGTTTGTTTGTTGACTGTAGGCCGTTACGTCAGCCGGTGGGCGCGGCCAGGCGCCGTCGGTGTTTCTGGCAGCTGCTGCGCCTGGCTCCTGGCCATCTGTTCCCTCTCCCCTCCCTCTCCGTCTCCGTCTCTATCCCGCGTCCGTTCTGTACGGGCTCCCGTCGTCGCCGACAGTCAGCGTTCGTCGGTGTCGTCGGAATTGCATCACCTGCCGATTGTATTTCGTCAGGCCGCCGACGTCTGTGACGGATTTAGGTTCTCACTCATTCCGGCCAACCCCTCGACTCGATCATCTCTTGTGTGATGCCATCGTGCGATCGATAATGCTGAGTCATTCAGGATTAGAACGAGTTCAGCAGTGCTGTACTGCCAACTCCAACTGTTCAGCTGTCCCATCCTCCTTGATGTAAAACACTTTCCATTTAGATTGCAGGCCTGATTGAAGTTCATTCTTTCGATTGTTTCGACGACAAATCCTAATGAAAGTCCAGACAATTTGTCCTTGATGAAAGTCAAACAATCGATGATCCCTTTCGATGCCCTCAGCGCTTCTTCTGCTCGCGTTCGATACCGTTCGCCACTCCAGTAACAAAACATCGATAGCCTCCGTCGGTTAGAGATCGCTCCCGTCTAACTTAGGTCCTCTAATCGATCGCTGCGCTCCCCGCTCTTCCTTATCCTCCTCTCCTCTGCCGGTTTTCCGTCGATCGTTCTTCCTCTGTCTGTCGTCCTGTTTTTGACTGGTGCGACTATCGGTGCGACCCGCATTCCACCTGTCTCGCTGCCCCTCTGTCCGTCCCTCCATCTTTCAGTGACCGCGTTACGATCATGACAGTCTGACAGTGCGTGACAGTGTGACATGCCGAGTGTCAGTTCCCCCCTCCTGACATCGTCCTACCGTCCGCCAGTGAGTCTGTTCGACCGCCGAGTGATGGAGCAGCACGGTTACGAGGAGCCCGGCTGCCACGGCCTCCTGCGCGGCACCAAACAGCTCGGCAAGGCGCTCGGCGGCCGGTTCAAGTTTCGCCTGCCCAGCTGAGTGCCGGCTGAACGCAGTTGGTTCAGCCTGCGTGTCTGAGTCTCACCGGCGCGCGGGGGTTTAATGATCTGTGCTGCTCAGATATGCGTCAGTGAGGGTATTTTTAATAAGCTAAATGACCTCCGGTTGTGATAAACTGTTCGCTCTCAAAGCGTTGTGTATTAGATGCGCCAGTTGGGTGGGGACTGGGGAGGGGTCCGATCTGATGGGGGCGGGAGGGGAAGTGTCGCCTGCGGGCGGATAAATGTGATCTGCGCTGACCATGACTTGTTACATGTGACGTAGCTTAGTAGTGCCTGTTCGAAACAGATTGTGATGACGTGTGGTGTATCCGTTGAACGCTCATGAACAAATACAGAATCTTATGTTACCACGAACCGTCTTGTAGATTTCCACCCACCGCGATTTCTGCAGATTTATGTCGGAACGCTGAGGAACTTTCTGGCAAGCCTCACCCCTCTTACACCTCGGTGTGACGTAATACATGACGTGGCGTCCCGTTAGTCACGATGACGTCACCGGGCGGACGCCCCGAGGCGTCGGTTGACATTGTCCCGTCCTCGGGACGCCCTCCGTCAACCGGCAAGGTCGTGCAGAGGTCGGCACCCAAATCTATTTCAAATATCCGGCCGGCGGATCCCAGGCTGATCGCGCTCATTGACAATTTCACGTGGCTGGAGGTGACCCCAGTCGGTCTGTAGTCGGCAGCGGGGGTGTGGGTCGGAGTGGGTTACGGTCGGGCGCCCCTGGACTGTGGACTCTGTACCGTGGTCGCTGACCGTCGGCCGAGCGTCTCGGTTGATTGCAACTCGCGCCGCCGCTGGCTCTGGCGGCTGAGAACCGGTTATACGTCATGGCGCGGCCGCGTGGTGGGTCACTGGCCGCTGCCGCCGTGCCCATGAGGGGTGGCAGTGGGTCTACTGGCTACCGGGCACACAGTGTCGGGCTGTCAGCAGAATTTCTGATGGCGCTAGGTGTGGTTCGGGGTACAGCAGGCTGCGAATCGAATTATGTCCCTGTAAACGTGATTCGTTACATGTTCCTCAGAACGTTACGTAACGCCATATTACTGTTAGTGTCCAGTGTTAGAACTGCAATCTCGGCATTAGCAGACAGATGCTCAACGAGATATAAGCTGATGTCGCAATCGGAGCATCGGACGATGTGGCTCGGATTTGCCCGCAGTCGGGAGGTCCATATCGGGCTCCGGCTGGTGGATGTGACTGGGGTGGTGTTGCGAAACCCTTCACTTCCCGTATGCAGTAACCATGGGACGTTTCCTTCCGGACTTCCTGTCTGTCTGTCGCCGGCACGCTTTTGAGCGCCGGAAGATGATGAGGCATTCCATACTGCGCAGTAATGTGCACGGTACCGACTCTCATGGCACTTTAGGGGACAGATCGGTAGAAGAGGCCGCCAGATTTTGTCAGTGGACTAAATGCATGAGACGGCTCACAACGTGGCGTTCCCATAGCACGTTCAATGACACGGCCGGCGTCACTGGATACGTTCATGAAAATTATCCTATCGCACATTTCACGTCTGAGTACTGGCTAGCCTGAATCAGGTAATGCTTATTGCTTATGTTACAGATTTGTATCACATATCGGCAGGGATCGTGAGCTCAGTGTCTCTCAATCGTGCCGGCGCCCGGCGGAGTCGAGTGTTAGGCCGTGCAACAGAGCATGATATTGCAGAATCTGCGCCGGCGGGCCGGTCGTCACGTGGTGCCCCCTTATCGCTGGGGGTAAGTGGGTGCAGGCAAACAGACGGATAGCGCCCTAAACGGCTGTCCCAGCACGGACGGCAGGCGAACTGCCGGCAAATGTCGCGTGTTAGTGAAGCCAGTGTTATTTGATTGCAGATTGTGCGGCTATGTTCGGACTTCGGCCACAGTTTGCAGCACAGCAAAACGTTTCTGCACCATTGTGTCCCGGTCATGCTATGCTATATCCAATATCCATGTGACCTGGGACGCAAAAATACCAGTACTAACAGCAAAGTCAGTTCTTCAGTGTTCAGTTTCATTTACAGAAGTCATGCAAATCATGTCAGTGTCCTGGCACCCTAGTTCGATACCATCTTAACTGTCAATCGTCATCGAAAGCCTTTTCATCTGGGTTTTCCAGGGAGCCCAGACCATGTGGCTGACACAGTTACACGGTTAATCCAGAAACAGATGAATTCGAAGAGGGAGTGATGTGCAGAAATAACGTATGTTTCTCTTCCGCGCTTTGACCTCTGGTGCTATGTCCGTTTCTCTCTGACGCTATAAACTCGCCCGTCCCGAAACGAACCCACGTGAACGTCCATCCCTGAACTGAACCAAAGCACTCCCAAAAGCCATGGCGTCACACCGTACCTTGTATGTATTTCCGACCTTCGACTGTCGCACCTCCAACAATGCTCAACAACAGCCGGCCGCGGCGGCGCTCCTCTTTCCCGACCAGCGAAGAGAGATGAACAGCGGCCGACAGAAAGCTGGCGGGCTCTCGGAAAGGGCGCGACAAAAAATCGTCACAATGTGTAGTTCTATTTGGCAATAGGCAGGCGGCTCCCAGCGATTATAAGACGATCCGTTAGTCGAGCGACCACCTCTGACCAGCGAGAAAGCGCGGTAAGCGACTCAAACCAAGCATATGGCACGGCAGTCTTAGTAGCGGCAGCAGCGGCAGTGCGCCCTCGACCGGCGACGACTCAACTCCGGAAAACATCTAACATGACACCGACATAAATACATATAAATGACTAGCGTGTGTCACCGTCTGTGTGTGTGTATGTGATTCACGTGTATGTGTGTATGTGTCTGCGTGTGTAAGTCCGAACGGACGGCAGGTTTCGCCCGGACGCCTAGACTGGGAACTTGAAGACGGCCTTGGAGATGACTCCACTGGCCAGCTTGCTCAGCGCCTTCTCGTAGTCGGACAGCTCGAACGTCTCGATGGCGAGCTTCTCGAAGTCCAGGTAGCGCTTACCGAGCGCGGCCGTCAGGGCGGTGGCCTTGGGGTAGCAGAAGGGGTTCGTGAGCGTGCCCAGGATGGTCAGCTCCTTGTGGAACATCTGGTTGGGCGAGATGCTGATCTTGGACGTGGGCGGCGCCACGCCGAAGAAGCACAGGTGGCCGCCCTTGCGCAGCCACTGGAACGCCTCCTCGACGGCCGGCGCGTAGCCGGAGCAGTCGATGACGTAGTCAAGCCCATCGTGCTCCAGGTCCTTCATGGCCTCGGTCATGATGGCGCGTGTCTCGTCGGGCGTCATCGTCTGGTAGCCGAGCTCTAGCACGTTGATGCGCTCGCGGCGCTCGGCTGACGGCTCGGAGATCATGCACTGCCGGTGGCCGTGCAGGTGGAAGATGCACGCGTACAGGATGCCGATGATGCCGGCGCCGATGATGAGCACGCGCGCGTCGTGCGGGATGATGCCGATGCGGTCGCAGCCGTGCTGGATGGTGGAGAGCGTCTCGACAAGGCAGGCCAGCTCGAGGCTCAGGTTGATCTCGGGCGGAATGCGGTGCACCTGCTGGGCCGGCGCCAGGCAGTACTCTGCCCAGCCGCCGTCACGGAAGAAGCCCAGCGCGTTGCGCGGTCCCTCGTAGATGCAGAACTGCGGGTTTCCACCGGCGCAGTGCCGACATTTGAAGCAGCCCCTGCAGGCAGAACGGAACGAAGACGGTCACACATTAATCGACTTACGTACTCAGGATTTGGCATGGCATCAAGAAGCAAGCCGGAAAGACGGAACGGCCTTGTGTACCGGCCTTGTGTTTTGTCCGCCACCGAGTCAACGATGTGAACAAAAACGGTAACGATAACATCGCGGCGACCGCCAAACGTCGTAAGGCTGTAGGCCGTGTTTTGTTGTGGTTGTACTCTGACCGGACACGAGTCAGGCATCTCGCTGACATCAACAAGTGATCATATCTGGTGCACTGGGTAGCGTAAACACAATAAAAACGGGTGTTCCGCAAAACCGGGAAACGGAAGACGATCTTGCACATCAATCACGGTAGGCGTATCACATCGAGTAGGAAGTAATTGAACTATAGCATATGATTAGACCATACATATGGTTGACTTAAAGACAAACGCTTGGATTTATGCCCACCAACCGAATCCCCAAGGCATTACGGCATAGAATTCGCTCAAGTAGCGTCCATCAACAAAGACATTTTATAAAATGACTTATCACTCTACGGAATGCACGATTCCACACATCGCCCATAACACATCGACAGCAACCATTATGATCTAAATTTACTCGTTCTGCCGGGATTCCATGCTGAGGCTCTGCATTGCCGATTCATTATCTGAAGTGCGTAAATCACGATTACACCGGCAACATAAAAGGGCTCCTATTATTTGAAGATAGGGAGGCTTGACTCGCCCTCGATTGGTGGAAGAAGAGCAAGGACGACGAGTTTTGTGTGGATCGATGCACCAAATTACCAAGATATTCATAAGGTGGGCACCGTTCTTCAATATTGCAACTTCGTTCCTCGTTCCTCCATTCCTTCAAAACATAACTTCCGTTACTCCGTTACCCGTTCCTCCGTTCCTTCAAAAGCAACTTCCGTTACTCGTCCTCCGTTCCTCTGCAAAAATGTAACGGGGAATTTTTAGTCCGTTACTCTCTAACTACAGAAAAGACACCAGCAATTTTGGGTGTATATGGCATACTTTTCATGCTAAGACAGATACCAACCCAACCCAAGTCGGCAAGCCGCCTACTAAACCCAGGGATAGCGGGGGCCACCCACTAAACTGTCAATCAAACACACCGAGACAGCGGGCCGCTAACTGAGCTCTCAGTGCGTCTGGTTAGCGGCTTTATGTCTCAAGCCGTGCACCAACTGAAGTCCGGTGCCCGTCGGGCAGGGACGAGCGACCCGCGGGCTGGGACGAGCGACCCGCGGGCAGGGACGAGCGACCCGCGGGCAGGGACGAGCGACCCGCGGGCTGGGACGAGCGACCCGCGGGCTGGGACGAGCGACCCGCGGGCAGGGACGAGCGACCCGCGGGCAGGGACGAGCGACCCGCGGGCTGGGACGGGTAACGTAGTCCGGGACCGGCGAGCGAGTGACGTGTCCGATGGCCGGCGAACTGAGTCATCAATCGATGGCCAACAGTGTGTCAGCGGAACAGCTGGCGCTTCGGATAGCTCAGGCACTATAGGCAGCTTTTGCAAAATTGTCAGGGAATTCAGTATTGTTATTGAATGAAAAACAATTCTTGTGAAAAGCGCTGTGACAATTGAACACACACATTCGGTTAAAACCTTGGAAAACATTCCACTTTTTCGCTGCAATAACAATCTCGGTTGGTTACTTGCCAGAGAAGACTGCTTTAAAAACCAAAATGAAACGGAGCAACGGGAAACTGAGCAACGGACTACACTGTAACGGAGGAACGAAGCTCCCATACTACAAAAGTTGCATTGTCCGCGGTCCGCATTACGTTTTTTTTTCTACCGACATCGTTCCTGAAAATTTAACGACGTTCTGGAACGGAGGAACGAATCGCGTCCTTGATCGTGACCGCCTGTGATATTCATTGACACCTCGAGGCTCGAGCGTGGTTGGGCATTAAATGATTGGATTTTGAATAAAGAAAACGACAATGAACACATACTGAGCGTTGAGCAATCGCCACCCAGTCAATACCACATGGCCCGTCCAGGAGCGGAGAACCACGAACCTGTACGGGTCGACGGTGACCTCCGATCCGACCTTGACGTTCTTCACGTCCGAGCCGACCTCCATGACGATGCCGCAGAACTCGTGGCCCAGAGTGACGTCATGCTCGGCAGTTGGGTAGTTGCCCTGAAAGAAATAATTCAACATAGCTATTAGCCAAGCCATCGAAGCCTTGCAATGCAAAAAAAACATTAGTGAAAACATTCATGGAGGGGAGGGTGACATAAGAAATGTGATGCACATGTAAGCAATAATATTCCATACATCTAGCTGAATTATGCTGTGATTAAAAAACAAGAAATAGTGCCATGTTTGAGATCCCGGCTGAAGCTCAAACTTGGAATGTGAGGTGAGTGAGTGCTTGAGCTGAGAGTGGGTTGAGGGGAAGTGTGAGCTGGAAGCAAACATGTGAGCTGGAAGAGCTGGATTATGCCCACTTATTTGCCCTCTAAGACCTCACTAAAGGTATCAGCACCTACATCCTGTGTAATTAAATGCAATGCCCCAATTTGTCAGGTCATGAGCATATGTCATGATTAGGTCAAAGCACTACTTTTGAGCTACTTGCAATGATGGCAAAGATGCCAAGTATTCAATTTATAGCAATTGGGTCAACTTTTCAGATGAAACTGCAGTACTAAGTAAAAAATGAGCATGTAGAGCTATTTTCAGACTCAAGTCAGAACCATCTCATTACAGATTAGTTAATGGGATGAATGACCTTTGTTTAGAGCTTCTTTAATAACAAAGGCAAACAAAATTTGTGAAGCTGCAATGCAGACAGGCCATTGTATTTTGCATTCCTTGGTTTTGTGTGTTACTTGTAGTGGTCTAGGACCTAGGTTGAGGTCATAGCACAAAATAGCAAACACCTAAGATTGAAGCTTCTCAAGCAAGAGTGAATGTTTCAATTTACCTAGGTGTCATAAGAGGAAGTTTGAAAACAGGTCACCAGGCTAGAGCAGCTGTAATGGCAATAATCCTCGACAGGTGTTTTCACTGACTTGACTGCAAGATACCAGCTCGAGTACAATTTTTACACACCAAATATCGGGCCACTAACCTTAATTGCATGCAGATCAGTTCCGCAGATGCCTGAGAATGCAACTTTAACCAACACATCGTCCTCCCTGACAATCTTTGGTACGGGTATCTCCCTCAGCGTCAGGGTCTTGGTCGGTCGGTTGTACTGCAGGGCTTTCATGGTGCTCATCTTGATTGGTCAGGTGTGGCAATCACACTCCAATTTGCACTGGTCCCAACACACAGAATGCAACTCAACACGCTCAGCAGAGGATCACAACCCAACAGTACGCCCCCACCGCCAGGCACTGACCACACTCGCGACCCCTGCCGCCACTCGCAGGCTTTTAAACTGGATAGCAACGTGCCCTCTGCGCGACCTTGCCGGCGCAGTACCATGCAAGGGAATTCCTCGGGCTCCTTCACCAACAACGCGCAACACCTTGGTATGACGCAACAACCAAGTACTCATTTTATCAATTCCACAAAGGATGTTACGGAAAAATAATAATAAAAGATATAAAATACACTGATAAAGACCGCCCACCGCCAAAAGCGTCAACGTCGATTACAAAAGTAAACAAATCCCACAAAACATGCGATAATGACGCACTATAATTTTGTTTACAATTTCATATGGTAGCTCTGACGTCAGAGTAAAGTAGAGGAAAGCATATGAAATGAAGGGAATGCTTCGAGCCTTCGATGCCCGTCAAGGAATATTGATCTCGTCCTCTTGAAAGTGCGGGTCTTTTACCGGGGTTACATGAGCAAGTAAATGCGTATCAGGAACGGATTTTCCTATTCGCTCACCATTGTAGTCCGTTTGTAATGCGTATTAACTCTGCTCATGTAACCCCGAGCTTTGAATGCCTACTTTTCTTTCTTTCGTTCGACTCGAATTCGAAAGAAGCCAATTCGCCATTAGGTTGCGCCCTCAGTTTCACCCTAGACTGGACCCGCATCTATGCATTCAGTGTGTTCGACGTTATTGATAGCCGGCAGCATTCGTGGTCTATAACAACATCCTCTTAGCAAATACGTCGGGATACACTTTCAACTTCTTAGTTCTTCTCTTTCCGCTGAGAGCTCGAGAAGCGGTCACGGCGTCCGTAAACGGTAAAACTTCCAATGACCCGAGAAACCGAGGATGCAAAACATAACCGTCCATGAACAATGCCATGCAGGCGCGCACACTGTACCGATTTTACCATGGAAAGTCGTTGCTAGTAAGAGAGCTTCTCGAGGAAGTTCCGACTCGTCATCGATGACGTAACGGTCGCGGGCCCCGGTGACGTCGACATCCCGCTCTCCCCCGTATCTGAGCGCCGTTCCGGAGACATTGGATAGAGCTGACTGCTTTCGCACATCCGGGTCGTTCTCGCGTTGGATGGGACACCAAAAGTAGCACAGTCGCAAATTGACTACCGAGGATTCTAAGCCCGGAAATGTACACGGCCTGGTATATAGTAAGGTTATAGCTAGCATATATGCTAAATCACACTTCAACGTTTGAATCTAGATAATTTTCAAACTACACACCAGACCTACATACACGGCTGCGTTTATTGTTGTCTTGGCAGGGTAGCGTCAAACAAGGGCATCCAACGAAGGCTTGCAGGAGGTCGGCTACACTTCATATTATCACAAAAATGAGTCGGTCATGCAGGAAAAACGATACATGGTGACGAATGAGATAAATCGACTAGCAATAAGCTAGTCTTAACAATCCGCCTGGACAGCGTTGTCAATTGTCATGATAAATTTACCGTCGTCTTCGCATCCAATTTGATTACTACACTATCTCGGTTACCTTTCAGCCAAGTTCCTAGATCCCGCAATATATAAAGTATCTGTCAATCAGGTAATAAAGTGAATACAAAATAGAAATATAGCATCAGCCATTACAAACGACAGAACACATGCAAAATCCATAACCACTGAGAGGCATCACTGTGGGTGGGAAAAGGTAACCGAAACCCCGCCCACCAACAAACTACGCTACAAGGCACCGAGCTACCTCAGTTATGCGCGGTGAGCCTGCGCCGCCAGACGACACGTGCCGAGACGCCCACCACCCAGTACCGGCCCGCCGGTAACCACAGTCGGCGCTGCTACCACGGGCAGCCTTCCGAACTCCACTGACATAACGCAGGCGGGGGCACACGGCGCCCAGCCGCCGCGTTATTTGTCAGGTCGAGGGCCCACCTATCACGGTCGGACGGAAGACTGCGGCTCCATATCCCCGTCCCTGAGTACCCCGTACCGCAGCCAGGCCGCTCCCTATGAGGTATTGTAGACACCGCGCGGCGGCCGGCCGTCACTCGGTAGTCAGCTGCCAGTCATAGAGAGCAGCCCCGGTGACGCCGCTGGCCGCAGACGTCACCAGGTGCACCTCGGCGCCGCCGTAGTCCTGCACGGTCAGCGCCGCGCCGCCGGCAGCGCCATCGTGCGGCGCCGACTCGAAGTGCGACTGCGCGCCGCCGCCGCCAGAGGCGCTGTCCGTGGTCCCGGTCTGCACTGAGAACACGGTGTGCGGGTGGTGAAGGTCCAGCGGCTGGGCCTGCAGGTTCAGCGGCTGTACACAGCTGATGGGGAGGCAGAGCTGCAGCGGGGCACCACCGGCGTCGGCCGGCCCGCCGGCGCGCGGCGCCGTCTGGAACACCAGCTGCTCGACGGCCAGGTTCATGAGGTCGGGCGGCGCTGGCTGTTCGGCCAGCTGCAGGTGGTGTACCACCACCGGCGCCGCGGACACGGCCGGGCTCACCGCCGGACCGGGCCCGGGGAGGACGTCCGTCTGGGCGGCCGAGACGGGCGGCAGGGGAGGCGCAGAGACCGCCGGCGCCGGCGCCGACAGCCGCTCTCTCTGCCGGGCGGGGAAGGGGGCGTCAGAGGACAGATAGGCAACAACCACTGACAGCCGCTCCCTCTGCCGGGCGGGGAATGGGCCGTCAGAGGAAATATACAAACAGCTCCCTCTGCCGGGCGGGGAACCGGGGGCGTCACGGGGCAAATAGACAACCACTGACAGCCGCTCCCCCTGCCGGGCGGGGAACGGGGGCGTCAGAGGACAGATAGACAACCACGACTGCAAACTACGGACAGAAGCGCGGAACAGATTGGTCTGTGGCAGGGCACTAGAATATACCCCCAGATATAATGCAGTTAACAGACTGCACCCTCTATTTGCCGATATGTGTGCAAGAAGCAAAATAGTATACAGATCACTGAAGTTGCAGGCCTTTCCCCCATACGCTCCTAAGTTGAAAAGGCCATGATACTGTGGGTTTCAAGGTCCCGAACTTCTTGGAACACCTATTAGCTCCTTCCCTCGCCCCCAACCCCACTGCACCCGGTCAGTTCGTGTACTGCTCACCTTCAGTGTCCTCGCGGCGGCGCGGCGGGCCACCGACGCTGCCGACCGGCTGAAGGGCGATCCGGCGGCGGCAGCAGAGCCGGAGGAGCCCGCTGCCGCCTCCCGCCGGCCGCCCTTCTGCTGAGACACCCGCAGCGCGCCCAAATTGGCGAAGCGGAACTCGTTGTGATAGATGGTGCTGTACAGCCATATTTTCACTTCGGTCTGGTAGCCCTGGCGCAGCTTGTCTGCGAGAAGCAGAGCAGAATTATGGTTGTTAATTTGTGGTGGCCAGTCATTGCTCAAGTAAGATTAGATGGAAACCGATTACCAACTATAATGAGCATAGATGCATTCCATGCAAAATGTCCATCCCCTTCATAACCACGGCGTTTCGTGAGCAGGACAAACACACGATTTGACGCTAAGCCAGGGGACACGTCCTGATGAGCTTTGCACTTTGTACGGAATGCTGACCAACTGGATCTACACTCGGCAGGTCTTTTTTTAGCTTTCTAAATGACATAGCGAGGTGCAGCTTGAAATCGTATACGTCGCACACCAAACTCATAAAAACTCTCTATTGAACGACCGATATCATATCGGGGTACGCTACCAGCCAGACAATAGGACGTAGAACTCACCCGGGGAGCCAGGTGACGACTCGAACGCCATCGGCTCGAACCGCTTCAGGTAGTCTTTGTGCATCTTGGAGAGGTTCAGGTCCAGCCCGAACACCTTGTCTTCCTTCAGAAAGGTGCGCAGCTCCGTCGACTGCAGTACCTCCGAGATGTGCCGACGCACCTGGTCTGCGGACGACGGGCGGTAGTGGTGAGGAGACAGGATGGTTGTAGCTGTGAGGAGACACGTCTCGGTGGTCCTCATCATCGAACACGGGGGGAGGGGGGCGGTAGGAAAGGCACCACTAGGCACTAGAGAACATAATTAAAGAAAATACAAATAGAGCAATGATGAGTGCAAAACCAGTTTTCTAGCATGAATCAACATTCAGTTGGTAAAGAAGTATGATAATATAAACCTTGTCGATATGAAGCCGCAACTTAAAGGGACGAGTCATTACAGCTGGAGTATTGCAAGTAAGATATTCGGTATATAACAATACCGATAGGAGCTCCCAGATACCAGACTGTCCTTTTTCCCAGCTGCCCGAGCCCCGAACACCTTACCTTTCACTTCTTCGGAGATCTTCCGTCGGTTCATGTGCTTCCCTCGCTGGTCCCGCGGGAACATGATGTTCTGGTCCAGCTTCTGGGAGAGCATGCGGATCTTTTTGAACGTGATGGCGTGGATGTTGGCGAAGGCCTGCTTGCAGACCTGCCGGTGCCGGAGGAGACTCGTGTCATGCAGTCGTAGACGGTAACTACCGCGTGCCCAAGGTGCGAATAACGAAGATTAAAGCAAGTGCCATGTCAAAATGATGTTTCTTTTCGCGGACCACGAAGCACAAGGAGTTTAATAAATCCCACCCTACCGATCAATGAATAAGATACCGATTACTATTCGGAACTTGCGTCACTTCCTTCGCACGGATGATCGGCAGTTGAATAACCGTACCGGGCGTATATCCTTGCAGCACAGTAACCCGCGCCCGGGTGGGCCTCTCACTCAGCCAACTTCGCTATGGTGGGGGCCTTTTAGGCCACACCATATTATCTCGGAAAGTAAGCAAGCTAGAAAGACGCGGTAACCAGCAATAGACAGCTTGCTATAAGATGTTTCAGAATTATAAGGGTCATTTTTCAATCATGTCATCGCTAAGGTCACTGGAGGTCACCAAAAGTAAGATTATCGCGACTTTTTGTTCCCGATTTTGACAACTTTTCACAAAGCGGCGTATAAGTCGGGAACCAATAGAGCTACAGCGCCGCGGAAAAGCGCATTCAATAGCTCTGTCAAAGGCCTTTCTGAGGTGTTGTTTTCAGATTTTACCTAAGGTCAACGGTTTAGCCTCCAGAGTGCAAAAACTCAAAATTAGACGTTTTTGCGGATTTTTTTTTTTCAGTAGAAACATTTGACTCCAAGCTTTTATTACGCTGAATTTACCGGCATCGCGTTTGTCTCGTCGAGACGCTTCAAATGAACTGTAATTTGACCTGGAAAGGTCAACATAAAAAATTTGACCTCAGGTCAAGGTCACGGAAAAGGTCATGTTGCAAATCAGTCGACTCGTATTGTTGAGCTGAACAGATGCATGGTATTTTCAGCGCTCTAGCATGTTTCTATCTAAGGTTATTACGAGCGAGCGAGCGCAGCGAGCGAAGCGAG